ACAATGTGATCAGCTATAAATATGACTTAGCAAATCCTAGAATTCTCTGCCGTTTTAGTATTATTTTCAGAAAACGGCATTTGTCTTCTTGAGTAGGTTTCTCACTAGAATTCACTAATTCCTGAATCAAGTGTGCAATCAGGATTCAGTCTGAATGCTTTATTTCAGTAAATTTGAAAAGAATTTCTTAGAAAATGTAACTCTCTGGCTTCTGAAGTTATCTGAAATATCTTCTGGATATCCTTTATGGAGCTGAAAATAGATAAATCTTTCTATTATCAAATTTAAGATAGGGAGCGTTTATACAGCACTATTCCCTAAACAGTCAGTGTCAAAGTGTTATTTCTATTTTTATACTGTAAAATATATTTTTCATTCTGAACTATATAAGACCTGGGACTTTATATATATTTTTGCTTCTTTTAATTGCTTACTCAAATTTCCCTGCAGGTCTCCTACTTATTATCTATGTGACCCTTTTTCAAGTTATCTAAATTCATGCCTCAGCTTTTTCACTCATAAAAAGAGAAAAAACAACATCGTCTCACAGTGTTGTTTTCAAGAATTGCAGAATACTTAGAACAGTGCCTTAAGCAGATTAAGTGCTATGTAAACACTGATTAACCTTATTTATTGAATGTCTACTATATGCCAAACAACATAAAATATGGTATACAGCAGAACCAGCAGTGAATAACCAACTATATACAATCGCAAGGCTGATAAGTGACTGAGGTAAAAAATGAAGGCGTGGAAGAGCATAAAGAATGAAGGCAGTATTATTTTTGTACTGGAATGTCAGGACAGACATTTCTGAGCACCCATCTAAGGAGAATGAGGGATAAGGCAGGGGACATGGATGCCTGCGGCAGTAAGAACCTCCAGGAGAGGGACACTAAGCTGCCAAAGCCCTGATTAGGACTGTACTGACAGATACAAGGAAGAGGAAGGAGGGCAGGGTGGCTGGAGCAGAGGGACAATAAGGCAGAGAATCATAAGAGAGGAGATCAGAGACAAGGGTAGAGGAGAGAGGAGCACAGCCATGGAGGATCTTGCTGCCCAGGTCAGAGTGGACTTCGGTTTCGGTAAGAAATAAATCCCCAGGAGGGTTTTGACAAAGTGGTGACACATGCTGTGGAGGTGGGGGCATAGTGAAATTACAGTAACTTCGGTCGCACTAGTAGAGACCACAGATCTCGGGAGCTTGTACAGGGTGGCAGGGAGAAAACTAGTTCAATGATTCCAGCACACCTTTCCACTCTGCATCTCCCCTAAAGCGTTCTCTTTAACCGGTTTTTGTTGACACCGACTAAGAAAGGCAGTGGGCTGGGCCATTATATTGATGCTATTTCTTACCCTGAAACTGCAGACCTCCAGGTAAAATATAATGAGGTTAACATACTAAGCTTTAAGAGATTTCAGAAATCATCCATTATAATCACATTATTCTCTCTAGAGTTAAGACTCTGGAGAGAATAAATTATTTACTACCCATGATTGTGTAACTACTTAGCACAAGAGAAGGGCCTGGGACTCAGTTTCCCTTACTTTAGAAAAGGGTATACTTAAAATTCATGTTTCTATGAACTTCACAAACATAGCTTACAGTGCCCATATTTTAATGATTTTACTTTATCCACAGTAACAGCAGAAAAACTTCTTCTAAACATTTTCTCATTATGGTAATATTTATGAAAAATATTTCTAATGTAAGAATTTTTGAAGCTCATAAATGAGTTTTTTTTAAGTTTCTAAAATGACTCTTTCCTTTAGGAAGTCTTCATAAATAACAAATACCTTAATTGATTGACTAGAAGTTCTGCAAATCTATCACTGGTAGAAATGACCCTGATTTTTTTTTAATAATGTGAGTGTGCCAATTTCTTACCAAATAACTTCTATAGATTAAAAAGCAGTATGTCATAATCAGGAACGGCCCAAGTCAGCAATAATCATGACTATAAATACTTAAAATATTGTCTGATCTAAGGAGAAGAATACCTAACATGGAGTTGTTTGGAGCTGAGTAAAAGATTTAGTATTGTAAAGGACATTTTGTTTTTAAAATAAATTGGAAACCTCTTCTGTGATGTTTTCAGTCACTGCACTGTCTTCATTTTATGAAGAGATTAAAAAGAAAATAAATCTTGTTGCAGATAAAGTAGAACTTGATAAAAGTCCTGACGTGTATCTTTTCTGAGTTCTGGTAATCTGGTTGCGAAATGCCTCCCTTCCCACAAATCCATGTTTGTATCTGAATGTTGGCAATCCACATGACAGTTACCTCAAAGCCTGCCCCTAACACACTGAAGCAGAACAGACAACGGGCAGTTTTCCCCACATTTTTGCCTTGGAAAAGTTAGAAGGGACGTGAGGGCCATGAGGTACTGAAACGTACTCCTGTCCTGGCAACAATATTGGGTGAAATTGCTTAGTGGGCCATCAAGCTTGCTCCTGAGATCAGCAATAGAGTTTCTTGTAATGTGCTAAGCATGAAAAAAAGCCATTTCCCAATCATCGTGTTCATTCCATGCATATTAGGAGAGGAAAATTCAATGGAGGGCCAATTCTCCCCTAAGAATCCTTCAGTTTAATTATGACCACAGTACATTAAACGTCTATAAGATGACCACATTAGCTCTGCAGCTACTGCTCTCTGCAGCAAAAGAGATAGAAGCCCTTTGCCACTGAACAGACAGGGAAGGATGCATCTACGGGTCAAAAACATGGTTGAATATCCAATTTAATTGAACACCAAGCCACTGTGCTTCTTGTAAATGAACATTGCTTGCTGCTAATTTGTGGTATTTTACCTTTCATTAAAAAACATAATTCAAGTTAAACTCAGCTGAACAGCAAAAAGCTCTTGATATTTTGAAGCATTTTGGAACAATTACTTTGACGGGAGCCCTTGACAGTTAAATGAGTCTGTTAAATGAATGTTATAGAAGACACATAATGATTTTTAGTGAAATATTGAATTTAACCACAAATGAAGAGAAACCAGTCATAAGCACTATGGGTATATTTGAATAATAGCATCTTGCTTATGAACCTCAACGGATTCTATAATTTTTAATAATAATCATGCAATCAACTAGTTAGCTGTTTCCCATTTTAGTGCTCTATATTCATTTTTAGTTTATGCCTTTGTTGTATCTTAATCTGAGAAATCAAGAAGAAAATTCAAAACTAGTAATAATTTCCTCTTACATTGGTATAGTATTTTACAAGTAGGCAATTAATAAGATACTGTCCCACAATCAAAGACCTCCTCTTCCCCTTTACTTATTTACTGAATGGGATTCTTTCACAAAGTAAGAAATTAGGAAAAGTCAAAAGCATGCTGTCTGAGAACGTGTGAGTTCACTGTATGCCAGTATTTCCTGCATCTGTGGGACTCAATATTCCTTTTCTTATTTTACATATCGAATGTGAGATAGCATCAAAGCTTTTACATGTTTTCTCATGACTAACAACAGAAATATGTACTGAAATAATAAAACTGGTACTGTTCAATTTCCTTTTTAAATTCAATTCCAATATAAGTGAGAGAGCCCTTTTGATGGTGAAATCCGACTTATTATAAAATTCTGTTTTGTGGAGAGGAAGAGGAGGTAGAAATCTCAGTAAATGCAAAGCATGTGGGTGGGAACATTTGGGCTGGAGAAATGAGTCAGAAAAACAGGAATGTTCTTTATCTCATTCGTCTGGCAAGCTGGGGTGAAAAGTCGGTGCTGAGCTGGCTGAGAGGTACTCCTTGGATCTGCACACCCGGGTGCAGCTGTACTTCCTGATTCTCCCGAGCAGGTGAGGCATAACTTCCCCCAAGTTCCCACTGCACCTGCATTTATCTTTCCTCATTAGTTATTTATACTCTACAATGCCTATTTACATGTCTGCTCCCTATTAAAATGCTACATCCTAAAAACAAAGAGGCTTTTTCCTCAGAGCACCCCCCCCATGGCATTTCTGACCCAACATAAACTGTTCAGTCAATGACTTAAGAATAAATAAGTTTGTAACTCCTTCTGCCGACTGTGAACATTCATAGGAAGACCTACATAGTTTAAACATTTGACACCAGCCAAAGGAGAGTCTGGATTGATAGGCAACTACCTAAAGCAGGTATTACTTAGGACTCTGCTATTCAAAATATTGTCCATAGATCCACTGCGTCTGCTCACCCAGGGGCTTTACACATGTAGAATCTCATGCTCTGACCCAGATCTCAAGTCAGAATATGCACTACAAGGTCCTCACATGACTCTGATGCACAGAGAACCTTGAGAAACTTTTATCTATACTACATAACAGTAAAATGCTTGAAGAAGTGATGGTATATATAATAGAGAAGAAACAAGGGCATGACGTGATTAATGCTGAGAAAGTTTCAGAGCTCTCTCAGGACAGTCAGTGCTTACAGGTGAAAAACTCACTCTTTCCAGCTCCCTGGGAACCCTGGCTAGATACTTCTTCACGCTCTTTATGCTTGAAGACACAGCTGCTCTTAATAATTGTCTTTTCTCCTTGGTGCAAAGAGAGTATTTATTGTCAGCATGCTGACATTTGCAGGAGTTTTGGCTTTCTCTACTAAAACTGTGGATGATTGAAAGGATATGCTGACACCTGAATAAGAAATCCAATGACTCTAAGCTATGTAAATTTAATTATTTCCTTTAATTTTTTCAGGATTTTTTTTTTTTTCTTTTCTTGAGCTTTGGAGAAGTTCTGGCAATTTTCATTTAAAAGAAATACAAGTCAGCAGTGGTTCACTGAACAGGCTGACACGCAATTTCATAAGGGGAGAGACACTGTGTCTTTAATCTAATTTGTGCTCTCAATTCCCAGCTAATGTGCCTAGGGATTGTGATGTACACATTTATGAGGAGACATCTGTAATGTAGAGTCCAGCTCTGCAATTTCCTGATACACGGGTAAAAAAATTAGTCTGGGTTCTTGCAGCTTCCCCGTAGCATGATAAATCTCTATATACTCACAGATATAGAAATACTCTCGGCCCGGCCTGAATTCAAATCCTAGCGAAAAGGGAGTGAAGAGCTGGAATTTTTCAGAGAACTTCAGCGGTCCATTTGGGGAGTGAGGCCGGTTACATTCCCATCTCTTGAACCCTTTGGAAGTGTGGTCGCAGGCACTGTAGCCATCAAAGTTCACCATGTAGAGGACATAGCGCTCAGTCTTATCTTCTGGGACAGAGTCCTCATAATGAGGGCAGAAAACATCCAGGTAGTCATTGATACAGACATCAATGTGGTAGTCACCCCTCTGGAATCTGTTGAAAAAGAATTCAATGATGAGTTCATTTATAGAAGAAAGAGTTTTGCTTGACATTCATAGACGAACACCTTAAAAATTCTGCCACTAAAAGATTTAGTATAAGTTCTCATTGAACACCATTATGATTTGGGGAATAGTTGAAATATTATAGTTTCAAGTGCAAGCAACAATAAGCCACTTTCCAGAGAAATTCTATTATAGTTGCTTCAGAATACTCTACAAATGAAGTACATCACTTTCATTCTAATTATTACATTAAATATTACTCTTTCAGAATGAAGAACTACACGATTTGCTATTTCCCAAGTTTTCTTTTATTCTTAAAATCATATCACATTCAAGAAAAGTTTTTCTTTTTCTACACGTTTGACTTAATAAAGATTTCTGAACAAATGAATGAGCAAACGAAAGAACAACAAATTACTGAATTGTTTCGGTTATTATCGAGGTCATTTTCAAGTTCCTATGTAAACACAGTATACCCCTGCAAAGTCACAGTTCAGAGTTTCCAGCCTCAGTCATTCAAGGATTTTTCCTTAGAATCTAACTAACAATTGGGCGCGGAAACCCCTGCAATTTCACAGAAAGCACAAATACTCCCCGCAACTGTTTTGTCCGGAGGTTTTTTGCAAATAGTCAATCTGAGAGGGTTATTCAGTCCTCCTTGCTGCTGACTGGTTGCTGTCCTGTAACCAGTCTCCTCCATACGAACCAGCATTCCTGCATCGTAACAGGTTGTTCTACTGCATGTAGCTATCTCCAGTGTTCCCGGTTTTTATCATCTTGTTTTGAAATCCTGCATCGTTTTTACTGTTTCTGTTTTGTTTTGTTTTTGTGTTTGTTGTTGTTATTTTGTTATTCTTTTCCTCTTTAAAAAAAAAAAAAAAGCCCTAACATTGCCAAGATGCCACCAAAATGCCATGCACTTTCTAAGGCTTTACTAATACAGTATCTTAGTAAATTAACTTACATAACTGCAGGAGACATAGCATATTTAGGGTTTAAATTATAAAAATAGGCATTTGTAGACATTTTCCTGACCCCATCTGAAATTTGCAGTTTTTCCACAATTCACGGTTGTTCTAGGAACATAACCCCTGTGGATTTCAGCAGTCCACCTTACACAGAAATAGAGCTATACAATGGAGAGCATTAGAATCATAAAATTTAAAAGTTGAGAAGAAAATTCCAAGAACAACATTTTTATTTTAGAAGAAAAGGAAAACAGAATCCTAAGGCACAAAATGAAGGTGTAATAAAGACTTTGGATCTGAGTTCAATGTGTCCCTTAGTAGGTCTACTTCTAAGTAGAAGTCAAAAACTCTTTACCTTATCACTGTGTGGGTGCTCAGTCCTTTTGTATATTAAGAAAATGGAAACCATCTACTGGAAAAATTTTCCTCTTTTGTTTCACATTATTGCTTATGTCCTAGGGCTGGACTGGTAAGACGTGAAAGTAATAAGCCAGAAAATAACAAATACCATGACAAATTCTTCCTGAAAGTTAAAATGCACACAAACCACACACACACACACACACACACACACACACACACCACTATCAGAACTATGACAAAATTTATAGCTGTCTACTTCAATTCTAATCTGACAAAATTTCTCCTTACCTGCTTTAACTAATATCTTTCTCTATCACTTGAAAAGTACTTCACAAGACCCTGTGATGTGCGGAACAGTAATTGTTACAGATACAATTCTCTCAGTCTAGGATCACAGTGGCAAAACCTATAAAACTCCTTTGTTTTTAGCTAGTGAGGAAATTCTTCCCTGAGCTTTCACGAAGGTCCATCATAAAACTCTGTCACTGCTAAAATACAACACTCATAAAATCGTATAATCTTCAGGTCAGGCAGTCGCAGTGTGAATACTTCCCAGTGGAGGTGAGCTAGCCTGTTCCATGTGTAGACATTCTGAATGTTAGAAAGTTTCTAACATTGAGCATAAATCTGCTTCTGTGTAATTTCTACCCAGTGATCCTACTTCTGCTGCCTGGAGTTGCTAAGACCAAATCTAATTCCTCTGCCACAAGTTAGTCCATAAACATTTGGAGAGGTCAGCTATGTCTTTCTGTACTGTCCTTTCTCCAGATAGGAAAATCCTGATCTGATGGTTACTTCCAAGGTTCCTCAATGTTCTTGGCCCTCCTTATGTCCTCTAATTTCCCACTGTTTTCTCCTTAAAATATAGGATTCAAACATAACAAAGAACTCTAGCAGCTCAGGACCAATGTTTACCCCAGAAAAATACAGCACTTTTACTCTAGGCACTAAACTTCATTGGTAAAACTGATAGTCCCTTCTGAAAGGACATTTTAAAAAATGGAGAAACCATTCATTTTGAGTGAGAAGATCTGTGGTTGAGTGAAACAGTCATAAATCACCCTGAGCCTCAGTTTCCTTACATATAAGTTAGGCTATCAATGAGAACCGGCCTGGTATGCCCACATGGCTGCTTCAAGCCTCAGGTGCAGAAACATATGAAAAGCACCCTGTGAATGTAAATGCATGCGGATTTGTGTAAGAGAAATAAGGAAAGATTATCAGGATATTCACTTTGCAGATACAAAATACATAATCGTCTTTAAAAAACAAAAAAACCCACATGTATTTACTTCTTTGTATTTACAGGGATCATGGACTTGCTTTCCTCTTCATTATTAGCAGACACTGATTTGTCAAGATGCAAGGAAAGACTGTGTTGCTTTTAAAAGATTTTTGAACATCAAGGTAACATCACTGCCAAAGTACAAAGAAAAGACACTGCAATGTTCAGATAAAAGAGTGCCGGCATATGAATCACCAGCACTCAGAGTAGCCTGACAGCTCTGGACGAGAGCCAGGCGAGAACTGCAGCAGAAGGCAATGCCCAGATGCACTTTATATTATTATATTATTATTATAGATCTTAAAGACATTCAAGGGGGAGAATTCCTCTTTTCTTAAGTGTCACTCATTTGAGCTTTTACTAGCATTTGGCACTGCTCAAAAGTGAAAATTAAAATTAAAATTGCCATTATCTGGGCCCAGGCTCTTAGGCCTTTATTCTACAATTAAAAAACACTGTCATTTGATACTTCAAATTTACTTTCCTTTTTCCAACTTTTATTCAAGTTAATGCTGCTAAAAAAATTTTTAAAACTTTTAATAAATTTTAATAAAGTGGGGCTGAACAACCCATTGTACAGTGGGTTGACCAGTAATCCTTTCTGGTGACATTTTTATACTGAATGACGTGCTAAGTGAGTTACTGTGGTACCTTTTTAAAAATATGACTACTCTTGTCATTGTTATTTCTATCCTTCTATCAATTAACAAAGAAAAAGATTATTATTTACCATAGAAGTAGTTTACATTTGTTTCAGATGTTTAATTTGCATAAGTTAAGTTTATGAATGTAAATTTCAAGAGATGGACAATATAAGCATAAAACCAATGACAAATTGGGCCCAGAAGAGGCATTTGTATAACCTCACCAAGTATTATCCAAAGAAAAGTTTACAATGAGACATTCTAACACTGTAACAAATCATGTTCTCCGGGTACAAGGCAGCACTGATCCATTCTTCTCTGGTCTTTCTATGAAGAAGCACATGAGTGTGACCACCATTACTGAGTGCTTGTTATGGTCACAGTTGTTATATCTCTACCACTGTCTAACGATGAGGAATCTGAGATAAAGAAATCAAGCAAAGTACCCAACTAATAAAAGTTAGAAGCAGAATGCAACCTCAGAACTAAAGCTGAAGCCTCAGAGCTAAAGCTCCTTACCACTGCACTTTATGAGAGATGGAATCATGAATTCCTGGTCCTTAGCTCTGTTCTGTAGTCAGAAAGAGGACCAATTCTCATTCTCAATGGAACTTCAGTTCTCTCTTTCATTTACTAATCCAAGAGCATGTGCTAATTCCAGGATCTACATATGTTTCACTAGGTTATCATATGAAATCCTGAAAACAAGCCTATTAATTTTATCTATGGGGAAATGAATTTCAGAGAGGATATTATCCTTTTAGTTTGATTTTTCACAATATTTAGCATATTCTCTGCTCTTCCAACCAAAATGGCTCCAAAGCTTCACCAGTCGCAGTAACACCCTCCATTCAACGGGGCCTCTTAACAGCTTGGGCAACATCAGGTGACATTAGGTTTATACTGATCTTCTAGGAGAGTCATGCAGCAAAGCATCCAGCCCTACTCTCTTCACCAGGTTGGTTCCAAACTCCTAACCTGAAAATTGAGGGCACATCAATGTTTAGAATAGCCTCAGATGGTAGGATTAGCTCCTGACTCACACACATCACTGTGGTCTTTCACCAAAATGCAGTGCTGTTAGACTCAGTGCCTGTTCACATAAAGGAATCGCAGAGCAGCTTTCATGAGCTTTAGGTCATATTAAAAGAGGAAATTTACACCTAGAAAGAATGATTTTGCATGACAGTATTTACAAATACCGTGGGGAGCACAGCCATTGCTTTAACACATTTGTTAAGCTCTTGGAAATTTTCTTGTAAATGCCTCCTCTTTCCTCTTTTATTTTCGTAGTTTTATCCATTATGTGTGTGGTTCTACACCTCTCTGGGATCATTTAACTATAATATTTGTCTGCACATGAATAAGGCAGGGATAATTGTAATATCTACTAAATTATCACAATGCTTTACAATGTAGAAGTGTGCATAATTACCATACTTGGAAAAGTGATTGTGTTTGAAAAAAACAATTACAGAAAGCAAGTTATGTATGTAGTAGGATGGTCCCAGAATGGTTGCTGGGTTGCATGGGTGCTCAGGTCAGTTTTTCTTATGACATATAATATTGTCTATCTATGCATCTATCCATCTTCTGTTATGGTAAGAATTCATTTTACACATCTATCAAAATTTGGCAGCAGATTTGTTTAGAATCAAGTCATCTACATTTTGAAAGGATCATTTCAGTTAATTAAGAAGAATTCAGCATGCCAACTAGTCCTGTGCAG